TGGGCTGCCACAGGAGGCAGTGGGGCTGGGAATGTCCCGCGGGGCACTGGGGACTGTCTGTGAGGTGGAGGAAGGGTGTCCATGGAGCACTGGAGGTGCCTGCCTGGCTCTAAGGTGACAGAGGGGCTGGAGGGGCTGGGGACATTGAGCAGTGTCCGTTGGCTGTGAAGGGGCTGTCTGTGGGACACTCAGGTGATGCAGGAGCTGAGGGCAGCTGGACTATTGGAGAGCAGCACCGGGACTGGGGAGGCATTGAGAGATGTCTGTGAGGCGTTGATATGGTGAAGCACTGAGACGATAGAGCGGTTGTGGTCGCCATGGGGGGGCTGTGAGACATCAGGGCACATCAGTGGGGCACTTGGGACCCTCCCTGATCCCAAAGGATCAGAGCGGCTGGGACCACCATGTGGTGCTGAGCTGGGAGGTGCACTGCACCCTAAGTTCTCTGCTCTGCCACAGAGCTGAGTGCTGTCTCCCCCTCATCCAGCCCAGGTTGGAAGTGACCTCTGAAGATCTTCTGAGCAGCCCCAACTCTCTCAGCCTTTCCTCCTAGGAGAGGTGCTCCATGGCTCTGATCATTTCTGTGGCCCTCCTCTGGAACCCGCTCCAGCAAGTCCATGTCCTTCCTGTGCTGAAGGCTCCAGAGCTGGATGCAGGACCAGGGATCTCAGCAGAGCAGAGGGGCAGAATCACCACACTCGCCCTGCTGGCCACACTTCTCTTGATGCAGCCCAGGATACAGTTGGCCTTCTGACTGTGAACGCACATTGCCAGGTCATGTCGAGCTTCTTGTCAACCAGCACCCTGAAGTCTTTCTCGACAGTGTTGTTCTCAGTCCATTCCCTGACCAGCCTGTATTTGTGCTTGGGATTGCCCCAGCCCATGTGCAGGACCTTGCACTTGGCCTTGTTGAACTTCGTGAGGTTCACATGGTCCCACCTCTCAAGCCTGCCAAGGTCCCTCTGGATGGCATCCCTCCCCTCCAGCATGTCGACCACATCACACAGCTTGGTGCATCTAACTGCTGAGACGGGCATCAAACTGGTAGCAATAGGATGGATTGAGGTTCCCCTCCCTGGGCATCTTTAGTTTAAAGCCCTCATCACCAGCCTGGCAAACCTCTGACGGAAGATGCTCTTCCCTTTCTTGTCAGATGGACCTCATCAGCCCCCACTAGACTAGGTTTCTCAAAGCTATTCCCATAGTCTAAGTAACCAAACGCCTGGCTGTGGCACCAGTCCTGTGACCATTTGTTGATTTGCCAGATTCCACTGGCCCTTTCAAGGCCCTTCCCTTTGACTGGGAGGATTGATGAAAAAACTACCTGTGTTCCGGAGTCCCTCACTGCTGCTCCATAATCCTTCTTGATACTCCTCAGACTGCTCCTGGCTGTATCATTGGTGCACACATGAAACAACAGCAGCAGATAATAGTCAGTTGACTGTACAAGGCTTAGTAGTCTCTTGGTGACATCCCCGATATGAGCCCCCCAGTAAGCAGCACACCTCTCTAGAGAGGGCATCAGGTCAGCAAATGGGTGCCTCCGTACCTCTCAGAAGAGAGTCGCTTACTACTATCACCCATTGCCTTTTCTTAGTTGTCCTGGTTGCTATACGGGGAGCAGATCAGGCTGCCTTACTCGGCTCCAGCATCTCTCCTGATGTGATGGGCAAAGCTCCATCACTGGTGACAAGCTTCCTTCAAAACAGCACAGAAACCACTGCAGCCAAGTGCTGCTCTAGTGTCTTCCCTCTTTCTCCCCATAGCTTTTCTGTAATTCCCTCTAAATAGACAAGTTTCTTTTAAAAAAAGAAAATCAAAGTGCTGTGCTTTCACCCTCGACACTCCTATTCATGTCTGGTCATAACTGGCTAAACAGCTCCAGCAGAGTTGTCCCCACCGCAATGGCAACCCTTGCTAGGTGTGCAGAGCTGAGGTGGCTTCGAAGGAGCTGCTGACCAACGCACAGTCTGTGAAGCACAGCAAATAACCCTGCTCACCAGGGAGACACAGAGCAGCCAGACTGCAACTCTGGGCAAGGAGGCACCCGACTGCCGTGCCATGGGATGTGGGGCTGCTGAGCTCAGACACAGGACCTTTTCTTGCCTCTCTCCTGGGACCTCCTGGCTTCTGGTGAGGGGAGAAGACATACATCCATCTGCTCAGGGCTGGCAGCAGGGCATCTGGCCCAGACCGACATCTGCTCTTGGAGAGGAGTGGGTAGATCTATGTTGTAATCTGTCCAAGCTCCCCAAACGAACCAGCAACTGCTCAGCCAACTGGGCGTCCACGTGCAGGCCACAATTTTTGGGTAACTGAAGTTACCGGTCAATGTGTTCTCACGCAAACAGCAGGAGCCACAGGCCAGCACGACATTGCCCCACCAGCATCACCACTTCTGCCTGGGGCAGGCATAGGGAGGGGGCCGCATCCAGCTAGCAGGCTGTCAGTACAGGGTGCACCAAGCAGGTGGGACCCAGCCTCAGGGTGTAGGTGACCTCCCGGGGGTTTTCTCAACCAGAGGTGGACCTGCAGGTCGCAGGGAGCAGCATGCAGTCACGTAGAGGTGGAGCACCCACGTTTCCCACAGAAGGGGTGTGCAAGGAGGGGAGCCCCCCTCCCAGTAGAGGGGTGCCTTTCCCCTCCCTAAAAGCTGCAAGAGGGGTGCACATAACCATCTGCATGCATGCACATGTGGGTGTGAGCAGGACTTCTTAGGATTACTCATAGATGAGTGCTTAGAAATTTACTTTTGATTTTAAAAAAATCAACATTTCAGAAATATCTGTTACTTCTGCTGAGACTCAATGCTTGCTGGTTACTTATGTGTTATTAATCTATAAACTGCTTCAATCCTAATTTAAATTGTGTGAATGGAGTTTTTTCCTGCAACAGCCACCACGCTGCTCATTGGTGTAAAAAAAGCATGTTGACAACGGTGACAGAGTGAGGTGCCAGGGTATCTCTCAAGCCTGAGATGCTGGGCACTGAGAGGTGGCTCCAGGGACCCAGGCTCTACTGCCTCTCCACCCTGAGCTTGAGGGACAGGCTGTGAAGTCTGTAGATCCACAAAAACTTAATGAAAATGGCAGGTCAACTTCTCCAGTCCTCCCCAGACTGAGAGCCACCTTTGTGGGGGGAACAGGAAACTTCCCCTTCCCCTTGAACCGCACAAGTCCTTTCCCTGAAGAGCCAGATGATGATGGCTGAGGTCTCTGTCCTCAGCCTCAACAGCCTCAACCTTCATATGAAGGAATTCAGACCTCCAGACCCAGGACTGGTGGTCTCCATCCTCTTCTTGGGTCTCTCTCCTTCTGCCAAGCTGTAGGACCAGCTTTAGGCCATCCAAGCAAAGAGAACCTGGCTCTTTAACACGCTGTAGAAGGTCCTTGCAAAAGAGGAGGTGAGGGAGAGGAACTGTGCATCATCAACAGGGGCACTCAGCCCTGTATCCACAGCCCTTGCACGTCTCCCCAGGTTCCCATGCTTGCCACTGAGGCCTCTGGGTCTCCGGCAAGTGTTACCACTTGTTCCTGGGGACACTTTTCTTCTCTTTTACCCTCTACCACACTGACTCCCGAACTGCCTCAAGCAATTTTTGTGGCTGCACAACTCTGCAAGATACCCTGAAAGTCCTCTGCTGAGGACTCGGACAGTAAGATACAAACATCATGTACCTGCTCATCAGCTCCAAACCCCATCTCATTGGTCAGAGCAGCTCATCAGCTTCATTCCAGCAACCCCCAGTTAGGCTCTCCTCCCAAAATAATGCCGCATGGCAGCTGAGCCAGATCTCTGTGAGCCAAACAGAATTTAGTCAGCTAAAAGATTAATTTTCACCCCAAGTTCTGCTAACTGACACAATAATCCTGATTTTTTTTTTTTGTAATTTATTTTACAACACACAATTACATCATTTTACAATGTAGTAAAGAAGAAAAAAAAAAAGACTTCACAAAAGCATCCCAGAAGAGAAAATCCATTACATACATTTCAGGAGACTAAATATTCCCCTGCCTCTCTGGGACAGCCCTAGCTTTTTGCTTTCAGCTTGCACTGTGAATGTAGAGAGTTGAGGAGTACTAGCTTGAAGTGAGGAGCATCCGGTTCTCTGACAGTGCAGAAGAGGTGACGGCTGAAAGGGGCAGCAGCAGGGCTTCACTGGGCAGGTACGGCCAGGCAGGGAAGCAGGGGAGCTGCCTTCTGGCTGCGCTCCGCAGACATGCGCTCCAAGCGCTCTGTGTAGAACCCGTTGAAATCCAACCTGAGAGACAAAAAACCCAGAAGTTTTGGCAGCCCGCTGGTGCAACGCCACCCAAGAGCGGCACGCAGCAAGCCGAACACGCTGCCAAGGGCCCCTGAGAGCTCAGTGCTGCAAGTGCCATAGCACACGTGCTCGCTGAGGCGCTCACAGGCAGCAACGGTATCCAAAAATAGACAAACTCTTCTATAGGGATCACATGAATTTCAGGACAAAATTGATTGACATGAGGGGTGTGAAGCAAAGCAAGAAGTTGAGCATGCTTGCTTGTGCAGCAAGGGGCTCTGCGCTGCAGCATGGATCTCTCAAGCAACCGTGCTCCCCATGCCCACCCCGCTGATCACAGCCTTGCTCTTACCCAACCATGGCCCCTGGAGGAGAAATCTCTCCCAGGGCATCAGCTGAACTCAGCCACAGCACAGCGAGCACCTGCCATCCCCACACAGGACTGCTCCAGGCTGGGTACACACAGCAGCTTGTTCAGAGTGAGACGGGGACATCTGCACGGTGCTACAGGTTTTGTCAGTGACACCTCTTCTGTGCCCATCCCTTGACAACAGGATAAATTTCACCTGTTCTTTACAGGTGTATAAAATACATCAGGAAGGACCAATTGCTAACAGCCTCTTTTCTGGAGCCACAGCTTGACCACACAACCCTGCAGGCGTGTCACTAAAGGAAAAGACTCCAGGGGTGACGGCTCCTCAGTCTCTGCACCTTCCCAGCCACTTCCCACCACTCCTTAACACCAGAGTTCACCACCACTGAACTCCGGTATTAATTCCCATACGAAATCCACCATATTACCCACCATTACTACCACAAAATACTGCAGTTTCCATTACTACCATCTCCTTGCTAACACAAGTACGCTTCAAACAGATTCATGATTGAAGAAGATTAGTAAGTGGTTGGAAGATGTTCAGCCAAAATCACAAGTGTTGCTGATACTCATAACCGCCTCTCCAAAGTAGGCAACTTCAGCAATATCATAATCGTGTCTTCTTGATAATCCACAATGATGCCACAAAACCACCCAGCTCCACACCTGCTGTGACATTCCTTAGGCAGATCTCTGCACTACGAAGCCAAGTAAGATGTGTGGAGCTCTTAAAAACATGTGCCCTTGGGAACACTAAGCAGTAATTGATATAAGCCTGTGAATCACACAAAAGTTACTCTCTTTATTTCTCAAATTAAGTTGCTCCAATACTAAATGAATGGGCACAATATTTGAGTTTTATGTTGCTTAACAACCTTACACAAATGGCAACAAATTGTTCCTTGACATTTTTTGGTGAGTGCAGAAAACAGAGCCTCGACAGATGGAATATAACTGTTGCTCTCTCCTCATTGAAAAGCTTATACCTCTTTCATCCTTTAAGTGTTGTACAAAGGAAACCTGACACCGAGGCAGGTATATTTACCAAACTTTGATTCAAATATAAGGCTAGGACTCATTTACATCCTTGCTTTGAGGATCTGTTCCATTTCTAAAGTTGGTTTATTCCAAACTTC